GGACTGTTGTATCAGAAGATACAGAAACAAAGACGCTGAACTAGAAGCAGAAACGTGCCCTAGTGTATAGGGCTACAATTAACTGATGCTAATAAGCACGACATTCAATGGACTATTTTTTATAATTGCCTCTCACAGTTTACAATTTGCCTATAACTCAGGCAAGCTTACGTAATTTTATTTGCCATATGTGTGAACTTTTTGATGACCTATATTTTGAACCTTTTTTATATTTTCCATCAGGTTTCCCATTATTTTCTTTTTCATTTTAATTTAATTTTATTCTCTTTGTTCAACCCTATTCCATTTTACCAATGTATTTCGTCCTTTCGTACAGCTTGCATTAAAAAGCAAATTTCTTTATTTTATCGAATCATCACTAACCAATTCTCATCCATTCAATTATTTGCTAAGGCCATATATTTGACTTACTTTTCACGGGATGTACTAGCATAATTCAATCTGGGTCAATGCATGCAGAAGCCGGCTCTTGTCATTTGCCAAGGGACGTCATGTTCCTCATTTCATACAAAATAATGAAAGATGGTAATAAGCAGGGTTAGTTGAATCTGGAAGAGATTATCTTTTTTATTGGAAGTATTAACTATTTCTTGCGTATTGCCCTAGAGAGGGCAGCTCAAACATCTGAAGGGGGATGTTAGCAATTCTGCTTACTCGGAGTGTAAACTTGGCCTTTGCATCGCCCAGTGCTGAACAGAATCGGCATTAATCAAAAAGTAATTGTAGATACATGGCGGTTGCACCTACTCAATTAACATCATTTATAAAAATCCCGAGTTTCACTTTTTTTGTCAACGAATGTAAATACAAATGTATATTAGCAACCTACAGCAAACAGGCTTTGGTTTCTTTTTTAAAACAATTTCAGTCACACACCAGAGCGTGGTATTGATCCACTTCTAATAAACACACTTTGGTCATGAAGTGTCATTAGCAAATCGTGCTGTATTTAATCTCACTAGATCACTAAATAAAAAGTAATAACTCACGCACATATATACATAGTTTTCTAAAAAGTTAAGTCAATCAAACGGCAGGAGAGCGGAGAATACTTCGGTTTGGTTGGCATACAACTTTTGTTCGATTAATCCAGTTGCCTATTCGTTATTTGGAGGAAGTGACTATTGTGTGGAGATTTGCATCCTTTTACAATCTTAGTGAATTCCTCTTAGTAGCCACACCTCCACATGTACATATATAGATGCATATGTAAGGTGAATTTTAAGCACTTCTAACCATTGAGCAGACAAGTCACACAAATATAGGAGTCAAGCATGTGCACCTATAAATTTAAAATGCTGTACACAGAGGAAAAGAGGTGATAAGAAGGAATTTGGCATGATTGAGAGAGAAAACACTCCCAACTCTACAGTCTTAAATGAAGTTCATTAGGAGTGCGAAATAACCAGTAAATGGCAACGTTTCTTCAAAGGGAATGGGCTTGTTGTCAGAGGAAGACAGACTGTGGAATACAATGCAAGCGGAATTGAAGAAAGAAGAGAAAAAAGCTCACCTTTAGATGAGCAGAAGATGCCGCCAAGGGTGACCTGCTTTTCAACTCCCTCGGCAATCACTCGCACCGAACGTCGAACCGCATCGCCTATTGCTACAACCTTAGATGCTTGACCTCTGCCACCAAAGTCATCATCGTCGTCACCACAAATCAAGCTGCCACGTTTAGCAACAGCCTTGGCGGTGACATTGAGATGTCCAACTCGTAGTGGACGAAGAGGTAAATGGAATGTCTCCTTTAGGTCACCCGCACAGATGCAGGTAGTGAAGGAGGCGATACCAACCACTCGCCAGTCTTGCAAATCCGTCTCCACACTCACCTCTACCTCGTAGCAGGTACGTGGGGTAACGGTACCGCCACCATCACCACCCAAACCCTTCGAAGTGTTCGTTGTCGTGGGCGTAGTAGCGGTTTCGGGGTACACAAACACACTGATTGGTAGGTGTAGCAACTCTCCTCGTCGAGCCATCAAGGGTGGTGCGAATTCCACAAAGAAGGGCATCCTAACTGTCAGTTGGGGCTTCTTCACTGGCATCCACAGGCCCCTGTCTGTCGTGAAGCATACCGCGTTAGCCTCCCATGCAGTGAGTGTGTCGGGTACGGTGAGCGACTTGTTGAGTCTCGCATTGGTCAGCATGGCTGTTTCAAACAACCACACTTCAGGAAAGAAATAGCAAATCTATGAAATTCTAAATCGGGTTTTATCTTGACGATGGCTAGTGACACCTTTCACATAATTTTTGATTGATTTCTTAAAATGAGCCCTCTGATCACTAGTGGCCAACCGAGTTGCTGCTTCAAGAGATCCAATCCCGTGCAATGGGCTTGGTGCATTGGGTGAAGAAACCGTATATATAGGAACCTCTGGAACAACTGGAACTAAATGAATTTCTTTCCAGTATTGGACGTGAAATTTTCATCTGGCAGTGTCTCTTCGTATTAGCATTAGTTCTGGATGATACCAGGATGATTTCCATCCCTGCTGCATGGAAGGCGTCTTCAGTACCCTTAATCGCGTCATCACGTTTGTATACCTGGTTGCTTGTTAACAGACCAGCATACGCATCAAAGTCGATTATGCTATAACTTGCAGAGTCAAAATACATGGAAGAGGCATCTATTACACCCAGTAGACATGTATTTGCGATGACCACCTTGTCCTCATTTTCGGTTGAAGCTGTCACGGAGAGGTTAACCTTCTCTTCAGGAACAACTAGTTGCTTGTCGAACTGCAAACCTCCTCCTTGCTCAGTCGCAGCCATCGCCAGTGAGGAGCAGGCTAGAAGGCCACCAATTTTCACGAAGTCTGAAGCCATTTGACCATCATTATAGACGTATGTCACATCGCGTAACGCGGGTCCAAAAGCTCCATCTAATTTAAGGTTGCCTTTGTGCCTAAAGAACGTTCTATGCTCCATTCGACCAATGAACTAGAGTGTAATTCGAGAACAATGACTTCCCCACCTGGCTTGCATGCACAGTGGCATGGTGCCACGCATGTACCACCCATTCCACATCCATTGTCGCCGCAAACAGGTGTCAGACAATTGTCGCCCTTCCACCCTTCAAGACAACGGATTCTGTCCCCATCACTACACTCGTAATGACCGAATTCATTGTCCTGTGGCACACACGCATAGTCTGCCTCCAGCTTCATGGTTCGTGTCGTGAGTTGACCACGGGAGAGAAACTGCAGTGTCAGAGCTGTGTTGTGTGGCAGTGCCTTATTTGCTATCACTTGCAACTTCACGCTGCCGGGACAGGTGACACTGCTCGTATTCATCACACTGACCTGTATTGCAAAACCTGTGTTGCCATCCCACAATTT